ACACACACACAACCCACCGGAATAGATTTCACTCCTAGGAAGACCTTACCATGATGACACCTGGATGCAACAATAAATACTGCTTTTCTTCCATCTAGATAGATGGAAGTCATCACTTGTTTCCAGTACTCACTTTTGAAGACAAACCTAAAACTGTCTGTTCCATTTTTCTATCCACTATTTTTGTTTTCTTCTTTTCCCCACCCCTAAGTGACAGTGATACTGTTTTTATCAACAGATAATCAGAAGTATGACCTCAAATATCTTCTTCGTTTCTTGTAGGCTTTTGTCTTTGATGAATAAGAAATAGTATTAGACATCTCAAAATGTGAGATAAGCAAATATGGATTAAACATTTTGCTCCATTCAGAAATTAATGGTTTAAGGTGGACCTTGTATTTCTTTTTTTCCATTCAAGCAGCCATAATCAAGATATATTCACAAGTCATTGACTGTGCGGTTTTGCTTCAAATGTTTAGGTTTCATAGTTCCAAAATTTGCAGGTTTCTTTTACTGCAGTCTGCTTTGGTTCAGTTAATCAAATAATTTTTTTTCCCCAACAATCAAGTATCTGCTCCACACTTGAGGAAACTTCGGTGCAAGCCAAAGTATTCCCCGATTGCATGCATGAGAAACCAGCTGTGGATCTCACGTTGGTTGTTGAGGGTTCTAGATTACAAGTTATTATTTTTTAGCATACATAATATCGAAGACGCCCCACAATACTTAATAATGTTGCGTGACCATGGAAGAATGCATAAATGTGTCACATCAGCAATACTTCAGTGATTCTGTATAAGTTCAGAAACTGAGTCCTCACAGACCAGACTGACAGTTAAATCGGCAATCAGATTTTGTTTGGAAGAGTCCAGTTTCCCGTGAGTATGAAGACATTACATCCCTTGGAAAAGGTTAAATAACCCTATATTTTCCACTTACAGAGGCTGATGCAAATTCCATTAACTTGTCCTGTATAGTGCATAGAATAATAAAATTCTATCTTCCATTCAGCACAGAGTAAACTGACCACGACAAACAAAGGCTATGGCCTGATTCTTCCATCAGTTCCCATTTTTCACATAACCAAAGTGTATGAACATATTTATCTTAGTATGAATGCTCAAGTATAAAGTGTTGCGCATTCTAGTTAGTCTTTCCAACCTCAGAACACAATTAAGAAAACAATGTGAATGGTTCTGTTCTCAATATCAAACAAGAAAAGATAATTATCAGCATAAAAATCCACGGAGTGCATTAAAGCAGGATGCAACTCACCTCAATAATAATTGGTTTTCCATCCTTCATTGCTTTCTTCAAATCACCAGCCAAACCTATGGGGAAAACAACTTGATAACTCGTCAGAGTCCTTCAAGTGTCTCACAGTTAAACAGAGGATCTCTTGAATTTACCTTTACGGACAATCCGACATTCTCTACAAAATTCAGTTATTAGCTCCTCGGAGGAGCTGAAATCTCGTGCCCAAACAGGAGAAGATGTTAATGGTGCACTGTTACGGAGTAGCAGGCATGTCAATAATCTGAGACCATAAGGTCATGGCACAAATTCCTCCACAATGGATATTCATGGCATACATTCGAGTGAGCAAAAAATAACTTGCAGTGGACATTGCAAGAGTTCTCAAAAGAATCAATATGATACATAATGCAAGGCTCTCGTGTCACCATATAAGAATACATATGCATTGACGAGCGTATTTTCAAACGGATAAAACAAGCCTTCTTTAATTAAAAACTGGGCTATCACTCATCCATTCCTTTATATCAAACATGCATAATCTATATATCTATATATAATAAGAATTACTATTTACCAAAAATAGTAAGCAAAAAAAATCTGGCAACATTAATTGCATACCATTTTGGGCAAGTTTTGTTTTTATTTTCTATTTATTAAATGAGAAAACCATTTAAATATGCCTATACTCAGTTTTGGTAACCAAATTGCTCAATTTTGGTACAAATAATGCTTTTAAAAATTTGAGTTTTATTTCAATACCAATCCTTTTTAAAATTAATTGATATCAACATTCATTAATTTGGGCAAAAAAAAAAGGTGCAAGTTCATAACCATAATAATTGTGTTCAATTCATCATATCACATAATTAATTGTCAGATTTGTATGTTTTCAGCTGAGTTGAGTTTTAAAAGAAAAAAAAAAATCATTTGGACGCCAAAAAATTTTGTGTAACAAAATAATTTTGCCGATAAAAAAAATAACAAATCTATCGACACACACTCAAATTCTAAGAGTTTTTTTTACTAATCGTAAACACCCAAAAAATCCGAACATAAAAGTACAAAAATCGAACATAAAAACCTTAAATTAAAAATTGCACATTTCTTTTTCGGGCAAAACAACTAAAATTAACAAAATCTACCGACGCACTCTCAAATTCGAAGGATTCTTTTGATTAATTGTAAAAACCAAAAAATTCGAACATAAAACTACAAAATCGAAAATAAAAACCTCAAATTGAAAAATCCATATTTTGTTTCGTGCAAAACACCTAAAACTAATTTAAAGCATCGATTAAATGAAAACTAAAAAATAATATGTATTTTTAAGACCCTAATGCTTTTCAAAATTTGAGTTTTATTTCAATACCAATTCTTTTTAAAATAATTTGATATCAACATTCATTAATTTGGGCAAAAAAAACTTGCAAGTTCATAACCCATAATAATTGTGTGCAATTCCTCAAAATCAATGATATCACATAACTAATTGTCAGATTTGTATGTTTTCAGCCGAGTTGAATTTTAAAAGAAAAAAAATCATTTGGACGACAAAAAAATTTTGTGTAACAAAATAATTTTGCCGATCAAAAAAATAACAAATCTATCGACACACACTCAAATTCTAAGAGTTCTTTTGACTAATCGTAAATACCCAAAAAATCCGAACATAAAAGTACAAAAATCGAACATAAAAACCTTAAAATTAAAAATTGCACATTTCTTTTTCGGGCAAAACAACTAAAATTAATAAAATCTACCGGCACACACTCAAATTCGAAGGATTCTTTTGATTAATTGTATAAACCAAAAATTTCGAACATAAAACTACAAAAATCGAAAATAAAAAACTCAAATTGAACAATTCATATTTTGTTTCGTGCAAGACACCTAAAACTAATTTAAAGCATCGATTAAATGAAAACCAAAAAAGAATATGTATTTATATGACCCTAACGGAAAAGTTGGAAGAAGATCGATGAAAAAAGACGAAAGAAGAAACTTGAAGTGGCGAAAAATGAAGGAAGAAATGAAGCCCTTGGTCCGATAATTTCACTACTTATACAATATTCAGTGTAATCTAAATTGTCGATTTGCGTTGACTAATCTGGATCAATGGATTATTTTTTTCTGTTTTGTTTGGGCCGTTATGAACTTTCGAAGCCAACATTGTAAATTGAGCCGATAAGAACTTTTTTAAGCCCACATTTTTCAAAAACATTCATATTTTAAAACTCCAACATGATTAATATAAATAATTACACGTATCTCATAATAAGTAGGTTTAATTATAATCAACGATCGATGCTTTATTATGTAATTTGAATTTAAATACAAAATTGCTTTTTGAAAAGGACTGAAATAATAAAGTCCCGTGCATCGCACGGGTACTGTACTGGTATTAACTCAATATATCTGTCAGTCTGAGTTTTAAAGACAGTTGCCAGGTTATTATTCTAAAAGAAAGTTAACGTGTTTCATACTCTGTTGCAGTGCGCAGCAATTCATACACCATATCTGTCTGCAAAATAAGATAATATAAAATAAGAGTTAGGATGAAACAAATACTAAAGCATAACAAGCTGATAGTGGCTCTTGATGAGAGATCCATGTATATATAGCTAATATCTAAAAGAACAAGAGGTTTACCTGCAAAACATTTGGCAGGTTTAGCCTTTGTGCAAGTTGAGTAGCAATAGTGGACTTTCCAACACATGCAGTACCACATACAAGAATAACTAGTGGTACTCTTTGATGGTGAAATCTAAAAAGTATAAAGCAAATTGAAATGTCAAAACTAGTGGAGAAGCAGTATCAGTATATGCACCCATAGTTTCAACATTTATTCTCCCCTCCCCATCCATGGAACGGTAATAATTTGTTTCTTTTTCGTAAATCCATTTTTTCCTATGACAAAAGACATACAGTAAGTGTTCTCGCAAAGTATCTCCTAAAATGAACTTTTATTTCTGAATACCACATCATTATATATCTTCCGACCATTACATGAATAAATTAATATATTGATTCATTCTAATGAATATGCAAGTATAAAAATATATCTTTAAACAAAGCCATATATAATATATAGTTTACCAACAATTGCTATAAAACACTACTAATCATTTCGAACTCAACAAGAAAGACTTCTAAATTGCAATTAGGAAATGATTCAGCCAAATGCAGGATAAAACATCTGATATAACTCATTCAAATATGTTTTTCCCAGAAACACACGAAAAATAAATTTCTCACAATACCGCGAAATAGACCCATAAATGTCAAAAACCCAGATCCTGAACTAGTAAAAATCAGTTTGGGTATTCCTTTTATGATATTACCATAAACTTAAGAGCAAAAAGTTACTAACCTTGTCATCATTTTATATCTATTTATATATTCTTCCCCATAGCCTCGTCTCTCCATGAGCTACCAAGAAATGAGCAAAATATCCAAGACGACATAAAAGAAAATATTAAGATACAAAAAAGTACATTTATAAAAATTATAAAGAAAGAAAAAAGAAAACAGGTTCAAATTTCCAGGAAAGATCAAAGCTGCAATAATAAATGTGCGAATCAAGCAAAACAAAGATATCGAAATATGGGCAAACAATAGCAAAGCTGCACTAATAAACGTGTGAATCAAGCACAACAAATATGTCAAAATATGGGCAACCAATATCAGCTGCACAATACTTGTCACCAGGCGAATTGTAAAGCAGACCAGATCACAGTGATAGCCAAAAAGATTTGGATAAGAGTCCGATTCATTATTTACCACTAACAAATACAGTTTGCCTCAGAAAATTATGTCAAAAGGCAATAACGCAACATGTTATCAAGATTCATCTCTGCCCGCCAAGACTACATTACAACTAAATATGGAACAAATATATTTGCCAATAACACTCCAACCAATACAAACAACTAAAATAGCTTTTCACGTGCATAGTGCAAGTACTAACTGACTCAGGCATCACAATTTATCTGAACGGTGAAACTAAAATTGATGCAAGAAGAGTCATTTTGCTTCGGACAACATGTCAATTGACGGCCATGCAGCATAATCAAGCTTTTCACTTTTGACTTTGAGACTATATTGCAACTAAACAATCCATATGCATTTGTTTATACTATTCCAAGTAATGCAATCAACTACTTGAAATTTTTACATGCATATTGAATTCACTAAACCACTTAAAAATCAGGTATCATAAATATCCAAAATAAATTGACATAAAACTCAATAGCCAAAAAGTTCTAAATATCAGAAACAGATAAGGTAACACACCTTGAATAAGTTCGCTTCAAGGTCAGATTGCGAGCTGCAAAACAATTAACTTAAAATGTAAACATCACAAATGAGTATGCAACTTCCAAATAAGATTACATATATAAACAGACTTCAACGAGCATCGAACATACACGTCCAGAAGGCTGTTATCTATAAGCAGCTTTTTCAGCTCAAGAGCAATCTTAATAGCTACGTGATTTGGAATCTGCAATTTGTGAGGTAATAAAACAGTAATCAGAACAAGTCATGGTTAATTCTACACAGCTTAGCACCATAAACAGCACTGAAATAAAACACAATTAACAAAAAAGTTTCAACCTTGGTAACAGTCAACATTCTGCTAAGCAAAAATCGGGAGAGCACGTAATAATGATCGGCATTATCACCCAACCACACCTTCACCTGAAATTAATAGTAACAATAAGATTTTTTTTTTTAAAAAAAAAAAAAAGAACTTTTGATTGAGACAAAAACAGGATTTGAACATGATTTTGAGAATTAAAATTAGGGAATAAGAGCAGAGGACTAAGATATTATGATCCAATCCGAACCTTAACAAAATCATATTTGGAAGAAGCATTGCGAGTGGAGAATGGGATGGCGATTTTGTTCTGATGGTCATAATATTCTCCCTCTGCATGTTGTTCTTCTTCTTCATTGCTGGGACTTGCTGCAACTCCTTTATCCTTTCTCATTTTTTTCTTCTCTAATTTCTGCTTTTCCTAATTGTTCTTCTCTGATTCACCTTCTAAATTACTCCGCTGCAAGTGACATGCGAAGGAGAAATTTCTACTGTGTACACATAATATCCTTTTGTTTTGGAGATGATATTTATAAAATCAATTGAAAATTGAAAATTCGATTGCATAATACATGTAGTTTCAAAATTTTTTGTTCGTTTTGGTTAGTGAAATGATAATTGAGATGAAAAAAATTGTTTTGTTTCATTTTTTCTTTTTAAAAAAAGTACTATAAAATAATAAATAGATGTAAGATGTTCCCCCTCCTTCAAAAATCAAAACATGTCCCAATATCGCTGGGCGAAACCAGGAAAATAATTGAGAGGGGGCAAAAGACGTGACAAAAAAATTGGGGGTGCAAAAAATAATTTAAGAAGGAGATAAATTCAAATTTTTAATTATAATAGTAAAAAAAATTAAAATTTTAGGGGGGCAACTGCCACCCTAGATCAACATGTAGTTTCGCCCCTGCAATCTCGTATTTAAGATGCATTCATTCTAAAGATTTTTCAAAATTCCATAAATCTTGATATATTTAATTAGGGCTTTTTAATAATTTTAAAAAATTTCATGTATTTATTTGAGATTTTAAACAATATTATTATGAGATATTTAACTTATTTAAGACTATATTTTGTTAAAAAAATTTAAAATTTGTTAAGATTTCAAAAGAATAAAGTTTCACAAGATTCCTTCTATTTGAAAATCTAAGAAGTATCAAATTTAAAAAAATTTAAAAAAGTTGCTCAAAATTTCAAATGAATATACTTTATATGTCGATTTGTGTATTTCGTAATTTCGTATGTTATTAATGTAGTTCGGAGTAGTTAGACTTAGGGGTGGAACCAGTTCGGTTTCTATATAAGTTTTGATGAAACAGAACCATTTTTTCAAAGATATTTTCCGTTCGATTAGTGTGACAAAATTCTAAGGAACCGTACCGTTCAAAACCGGTTCGGTCTCTCGATTATTTAATAAATTGATTGTAAATTTTTTTAGAACGAAACTTTAAAAAACAAAAGTAACAAATACAGTAGAACCCGATATCATGTAACCAAAACTAATTAACAAAATAAAAAATACACACACTCAAACATATCAAACAGATTCTCAAATTCACGTACCCACCAAACTTCGTCTTGCCCTCTTATGTTCATGGGTTCATTAATTTTTACAATCCTTTCATTTTCTCTCATTGAAACTGCAGATCGACTATTGATATGTGTCTATGAGTCTCGCCGGCCAATGACGGCGGGTTGCAAGCGGTAGGCGGTGTAGGGAAACGAAGAAGGGGGAAAGGGGATGAATTTGCAGATCCTCTTTAGCTCTCAGTCTCGGAAAACATAAGAAAGGAGATTAGGTCGAATTGATGTTAGGCGACAAGGTGGCGATGGGTTGCAAGAAGTGTTCTGTTGGAGTCGGACTAGGATAAAGTTACCAAGAATAGTTAGCAAGATTTTCACACAGCATTTAATTCATACTACTTTTGGAAACTTTTTAATTTTTTAAATCAATAGCGTTTAATGAAAATCCTAAAATATTGGGTTTTGGTTCTTATTGAAATCGAATTCATACACGTAAGAAAGTCTGAAAAATCGGACTATTAGGCAGCTCTTTATTCCATACACCTGAAAAATCGGACCAATAATATTAGATAGCTCTTTATTCCATGAAAAATTATATATAGCCAACTTAGTGTACAACTAGGTTGACAACACAAGTAATTTTTTATTTTTGTGGAAGGTTTTTTACTTGTATTGTCAACCGAATTGTACACTAGCTTAGCATTTCTCTTATTCCGTAAGCCATCAACATTCATCCTAAAATTTTGTGGTTCTCCCGATTTTCAATACCATTTTTTTCAAACCTTCAATTGAAATTCGAAGCGTATTAAAAACTCCCAAATTTTGAATTACTTTGTAACGTAAGTACTTAAAAAAACTATTTTTTATATTCTATCAACAAATTTAGGGTGAGATAATATGTTAGGCTCATAATATTTAATATAGTTTTAAGCATATTGTTTAGATACTTATTTTACACATTCTATCTATATACACAATGCATATACATATGTTAAATTTAAGTATTTTTAGATATTTTTTTTAAAAATAATTTAGAAAATTTGAGGTGGCGTCACATCTTTTTAAATAGTTTTAGACATGTCTTCTTTACAAAATAGTTTAGTAAAATTTAGATGACTTAACATATTTCACTAATGATATATAAAATTTTAGATACTTTTACATACGTTATATAATATCTTAAGTACTTTTAATATTTCAACCATATATTTTTATTTTTTTATACTAGAAAATTTTGTATTGTTTACAACTTATATAAGACAAATTATATCACATATAACTCTACATCTTTAATTTATAATTATTGATTAATATTGTTTACCATCATCCTTAATTTATAATTATTATTTAATATTGTTACCCGTGCATCGCACGGACTACACACTAGTTTCATTTGATAGGATTTAGACATGCTAAGGTGAAAAACAAAAAAAAAAAAGAAAATAATCCTTTGACACAAAAATATTTGGGCTGATTGGGCTTAAGTCCTCTTCGTGAACAAATGGTCGGATGAGCCTTATGAATTCAACTTATATCTACGGTTCTTCGGTTTTTTAAAGATCTTAGAAAAAGAATCTAAAACCGGAACCGAAAAAGAAGGATAAAAACCAAACCGATAAATTCATCGCATATTAGACAATAACTGACTAAATCCTTTTCTTTTTTTTTGGTTCGATCAAGTTTGGTTTTGTGGTTTTCAGTTTTAAAATCCCACCCGTATCTAGCTTATAAGTTATAAGATATTTTTGAATTATAAAATATTTATAACCACCCGCATTTATAACTTAAGATATTTAAGTTAGATAAATATTTTATAATTTCAAATATCTTATAAGATAGATACTTTAAAGAAAAGAAATACAAGAGGGTGTTACCTATTAAAAATTATACTGATTTAAAGAAAAAATGTAAGAGAAGTTTATTTTCATTTAAAGAAAACATGTAAGAGAAAAATGTAAAGTTGTCCCTTTTGTGGGTGGAGGCTCTTATGGGTAAGTGTGTGTCGTTTGAGAAAAAAAAAAATGGTTCAGTTTCCACTGTGGGAGGTCCACTGGAACTGATTATTCATTTCTTATTTTCTCATGTTTGCGCCTTTTGTTGCGGGCCTTGCGGCTCCATAATTTCAATTACGGACAACTCAATATCTCTTAATTTTGGGTTAAAATAGGAAAAAAAAAAATCATTGTACCTATTCACAAAAAAAGTATTATAACATTCGCAATACTTTGATATCAACTTGTATAATAATAGTAGGGACAACTCAGTAGCTNTTGTAGTTCACCAAAAATTATTATAACAGTCGCAATACTTTGATATCAACATGTAAAATAATAGGGAATTTGTCATTTGGAAGTGTTAGAAGTGCTTTCTCTAGTTAAGTGGTATCAAAGCCGGATTGAAGTCCAATAGCAATTTAATACTTCAACACATTCTCTAACAATGAATACTCTAATAATGTGTACCAAGATTTCCATATCTGTAAAGTGTCCCCTACACAGGTACCTGTTAGAGTTGTGCAAAAGTTTGAACATTGGCCTTTGGCCTTGCCCTTGCCTATTCTTGTACAAAACCATTAAGACCATGTTTGCATGACCAAATCCCATCAGCATTTCATTCTTTCATTTTGTGTTACTCCTTCACCAACTTTAGTCATCAACTTCAGAATCATTTTACAGTCGAGAAAAACTGGAAAATGTATTGGTACGGATACTTTGATAACCTTATTATTGAGCTGTCCACAAAAAGTACTGAATGGAGATATCAATTTGTCAAACAAAATGCAACTACTTGCTGGCACACGCCATGTCAATGTCCTATTGATATGTGCATTAAAAAAGAAAAAAGCACCATAAATAGTGAATATGAAAATATTTGCAGGGCTGACTTGAGATTGTTGATGGGCAGCAGCTCCGCATAAATAAGCTTTTTACACACGATTAATTCTGAAAACCGGGTTCTTCACATAGTTGTAAAATTGTCCCGGGTCAATAACTGTGGAGAAGAATCTTTTCAGTGAAATCATATAATGGCAGAGCTAAAGAATTCTGTTCGTCAGAATACCTTTTAAGATTAGATTGGATGAATAAATAGCACACTTCACAGAAAACAAAAGAGTGGATAAGAATAGTCATCCACGAGGCGCTGCCATTTGCTGCTTCTTTATCTTCTCATCATTTTTCACCATGCTGAATCATTTGAACAAAACGCACACCATTAATGCTCCAGTGTTTATATAAAAATCACTCAAGAATGTAGAGTTATCTAAAATGGGATAGCATTCAGAGTTTTCCAAACTTTTGTCGGACGAGTGCAAAAAATCAGCTGTGTAAAGCTGAAAATGGGTTTAAGGTTAATTATGCAATATAGATACCTGATGTCATGAGGGGTTATAAAAATCCATTGGGAACCTTGAGACAATGCAAAATCAACCACAGCGTCCAAGCTGATTTTTCTGCTTACAGCATCCTGCAGATGAAACAAAAATCATCCTGTTTGCTGAATATTTTGCTCCCGCCATTAAAAAAGAATATATAAAAGTACATCAAACTCGCTGCCTTGTGACACCACATTACACCAGCTAACATGAAACTAAAATAAGGACTTCAGTTGAGTTGTACAATACCAGTTGTGATCTCTCACATTCTTCACATACTGATCAGTTCCAAAAGCTTCCCAGGTTTTGCATTTATTCCAAAATTTTACGCATAAACGTGTTTGGCATTTATTCATTTGAGAGTTTGAATCCCTATTAAGTTTTATGATTAAAAGGTTGAACCAAAAGGGGCTCGAACCACAAACCAGAATATGGTGAAGTACTAGGCCCAAAAGCCATAATATGGCTAAATTGTATCAAACTCTCTTTCTGAAAGTTAGAATAGACCAAATTGACGACAGACATATATAAGCAAATGTGATTTTGGAGTACTCTCCCCATGTTTCTGTATGCTTTCAATAGGAATTGGTATTCAAAAGGATTCACTAGCTGTCCTTGTATCTTAATCTTCAGACTAATTAAATTAGACTGAGAGCATACCAAGCTCAACTTCAAAAGGCTGTGTTATATAGAAAAGAATAAAATGATCCTACCAATCATATAATTAAAACCACCTTCGTACACATAACTGAGAGTTTCAGTTAGAGAATAATACCATAAAAACATCAAACTCGTCCATTGCACGGAAGGGGGCTTCTGTCATCTCGTGAAGTGCAAGGGCAAAACACAATGTTGAAAAAGAACGCTCACCACCTGTTCAAGCACCAGAAGAACGAAAAGCTTACAATTCTGGTCTTAACCTTTTGGCGGTAAACGATAAGAAGTACTGTCAAATATAAAACCACATTTATGTTTAGCAAATATTTAATGTCCCATGTATATCTTCAGACCTGGATAACTGATCATGCCAGTTATGCTCGCTAGTTAATTTTTAGAGGTTAAAAAACGATTATGCTGAAACAGTACGACATAAAAGCAATCTTTTATTATATAATAACTGTTAATGCTTAAGTTGGCCAACAAATACATCAAACTCCCATATGCTTTATAGTGGAACTGCTTATTTTTTAAATTATACATATATGTCTACGTATCAGATGTAAGTAGACAGGACGAACCACCAACCCTTTCAACGATCACATATATCAGACTTTTTTAAATGTATAGTACATTCTCTCTT